CTTAGGTCATTGACTGCATGGATGGTTGTTGCTCTATGCCTACCTCTTGCACTCGTTAGCGTAAATAACCATAAATTTTGTATACAGTAAAGGAACAGTTTCCATTCAACGGTCGTTCTTTGAAAGTAACCTAGCTGTTCAGTGAGCAATTTTTCTGCCAAAATTTTTAAGTCCCTATAAGTGAGAATCACGAATGTCTGAAAGCTGAATTTGGAATATTTAAGTTGTACTTGGACAGGGAACATTCCCTCAAAATTTCAGTTTTCTAGCTTTTAGTAATTTTCCCGCCAATACTTTCACATGCCCGTATGTGGTATTCCAGATACTTTGGAAGCTGAATTTGAAATCTCTAAATTGCATGTGGATAGAGAATATCCCCTCAAATTTCAGCCTTTCAGCTTTTCTGGTTACCGAGTAGTTTTTAATGTTAGTAGTTTTCCCGTCAAATCTTTCACGTGCTTGTATGTGAAAACCACGCACGTCTAAAGGCTGAATTTGAAATAATTAAGTTGTACTTGGGAACACTCCTCCAAAATTTCAGCTTCCTAGCTTTCTTAATTCCTGAGTTAGTAATTTCCCCGCTGAAACTTTTGTGCACCTTCACTTGAGTACCACGCGTACCTCGAAACTGAAGTTGAAATTTTTTGCTCTCACATGCGCAGTGAATACCTCTGCAAAGTTTTAGCCCCTTACCTTGTCTGTTTCCCGAGATCATCCTCCCGCCAAAAAACTAGCACATTTTTTTAAAACGTCCGTACGCGGCACCCAGGCGTAGGCAGGCGATGATATTAAAACGGGGAGGTCGCGCATGGTGTGGGCACATACTCTCAAAGTTTCGGCCTTCCAGTTTTTCTGGTTCTCGAGCTGAAAGTGGGTGACAGAAAGTGCGAACACACAGACATACACACACATGCACACACAAACAGCCTCTTGCCAATATGCGTTTTTGCAATTTGCGTATATGCAAAAGCGCACAAAAATGGAAGGAAAAGCTCTCAAAGACTAAAAACGCGCTGAAAAGAAAGTAAATGTGGACTGAGAAATAACAAAATCAACCATGTGTTACCCATGTTATAATGTAGGAAGCAAAAGTAGAAAAAAAAGGACCATCATAATCGAGATTTCGTCCGATGGCGACAAATCCTGGACCGGCCAGCCTTTTTAAATCCCAAGTAGACCAGCAAAGATTGTACTGATAATATGCATATGCCGAGAAGGAAATGCACTTAAAGGCTTAACACCCTAAACAACAAAAGCAGAAAAAATTACTGATGATTGGACATTAGCTTTAGCAGCAATTTGTCTGCTGAGCTAACGTTCCTTCCATATTGTTCCACAAAATCAACGCGTTTCGGCGATTCTACCGACATGCCTAAAATGAACCAGTGCACCAATTTTCAATGTTTCATACCAATTTTTAATATTTCACTTAAGGCAAAAGTTTTTTAACAATGACTGTTACTACTAAACGACAGCAATTCTGGAAACTTATTGTTCTACATTATCTCTCTGTAAAAATTCAGCAGCCATTTTTTTATACTGTGAGCTGTGAAGTAGGTTTAAGTGACGGGACAGGCTAAAAAGCTATTGGTTTTCAGAGCGTGGCCCTTAGAAGAGCAAGGGATGTATAATATGTAAGGAGTTTTTTTTCGTGTAATTAAAAAATCTGAGATGGCTCACATGGATCTGACAAGATGTCTGGGTGAGTACAATCGGTTTTTGTTTTCATTACTGGATCCTAGCAACTCCACGCAGTTAGCAAATGATTACGGCAAGACTAGGCTGAAGCAGTGTGTTCATTGCCACTTATTTCATAATCAGAACAATAAAGTTTTTAGCATATAACGTTAAACAAA